GAGGAGGGCGGATGGTTTCAAATGACTTGAGGATCATAGCCCAATGTAGAACTTCTATACTACCTGGGTTCCTTGGTGGTATGTGTACAGGATGATGTAAATCAGTTGATATCTTCCCTGTTGCTGTTGAGTGCCATTAGTCCAGCCTGACTCACTATAACCCAGAGTAAAACTACCCCATAGAGCTTTCTTACCTGTCATTTTATGGAAGATTGCCGAGTTTTTTTCCCTTAGAGCTTTTGGATAAATTTGGATGGCCAACTTTTCGGTTGTAACCAAACATTTAACCATTATATCACCTAGACTCCTTGAATTTGCACTATAGTTATATATACTATGTATTCCCTGAAATGTAGACTGGTGAAAATTAGAAATTTGAAAGGTGAATATCTACTAATATTTAGCACAGATAAAAGAATAACTTTTTAAAAGTTATGCATTAGGATGCTAAATTTAAATATAGCTCTGGTTTCTTTTTCAACTTACTTTGATTTGCACATATTGAACCAACTATATCTGATTCACAGTGGATCATAAGCTCATACAAAATAGGAAGCCCAAGAATGATTTTAATTATTGTTTTTATATGCTTGTAAAGGCACAATTGACTTCAGAGTTAAAGACATAAACACCAGTCCAAAGCTTTTAAAGACTTTCCAAATAAAATGGACGCTACCCTACTCAGATGTTCTAGTCATACTCTGGACCGACTGAATTATGCTCTGGGACTGGGCTTGCACTCTGCAGTTCTAAGTGGTCCTCCCTAATTCGGATGCCCATCCTTGTTCCGAATCAGCGATGCAAACAGCTCTGCAGAGTCCAGCCTCAACCATGCTCAGGGATGAGTCACCCCAAGACTCTATATAGTTTTCTCTTCCCCGGAGTGCTCCTATCTGCCTCCTAGGTCAAAGGCCCTCCTGTTAAAGCTCTGGTTCGATTGCCAAATTGCTATCTGCATGACATCCTCTCGAATTCAGGATCTGTCCAATTTCTGGCACATAAAATGCAGCTCAAAGTTCAATATGGTGGTTTTTCGAGTCTCTTGACTTCACCATCTCACACTGAGAGTTGCTAGTCATCCGATTCTAGGAGCTGTGGCCAGGCGAAACTTGTGCTCTGTGCCTCGCTGAGCTCTTTATGTTGATTTAATGAGACAGGCAGCAATATTTAGGTGTGCTTCAGGGATACTAAAACAGGCAGGCTGGATTTACATATTTATGATACAAAACTGTTTGAACTTCCACATACACACACACAGAATCTGTGTCACTGTGGTGTTTCCCTTTAAATGCTTTACGTGAACAATATCTCCCAAGGTTGTATTATTGATAAACACAGGAACTACATCTGGAGGAAAGCCTTTGAAATTAGATTCTAAATCCACATTAATGCCAAGTAAGTAATGAGTACCAAGAGGTACTGAATAGGAGTGCTCCAAACAGCAGAGGGGGAAAAACATAGCTATTTTTCCCCCCCGCTCTTTTCTCTCAAAGGTAAGGCAGAAGCTCAACTCTTTGCTTTTCCTATTGCAGATTAAATCTGGATTAAATGTATGTGTATGTTTTTGCCTGTGTATGTGTCGTAACACAAAAACAGGAAAGAAAAAAAAAACTAGGTCATAAAAGATCCCTTTTTTGAAACATCTCACCACTCCTTGGTTCTTCCTTCCTTTGGTTTGAATTCACCAAAGGAGGCAAAGCCAAATACACAAACATTACACAGATGCTTCAATGGTGACAAAACAGCAGAAGACTGGAAAAGATGCCATTGGGTCCCTCTCTGCTTACCTTCCTCTCACCTCCAGGAGGATGATATTTTTATTTACATATTTTTTAACATAGCTGAGCTGATTTAATTTTCTATAGAAATGGTTTTAGATGTGTTTATCAGAGCAAGTCTTCAAAACCCTGCATCTAAATGAATGATGTCTTCCACAGAGTTGGTGTGTTGCTTTTGTCCTTTAAAGAACAGCTACAGTTATTCAGATTCAGTTTCTCTGGAAGAAATGAGAAGCATGCTTAGTAGCCCCAGGGAAGGCCCACAGGACAAAAGGCAGGACTGAAAAGAGACTTTTTCTGTTTGGTTTCTGAAATTCTCTGAAGGACTGTGTTTAATGGATGCTGGGCACACTAGTTCCGAGAGGGTGGGTGGTTGGGGCTGGAAGATGGCACTCTCATATGATCTCCAAAACAAAGAATGGATTTTTAATTATTTGGTGGGAACATCTTTTCCCAGTAAAGTGTAAGTAAAATGAAAGATGCAGTCCTACCCCTTACCCAAACCTTCCTCACAGGTATTCTTGATTCTTTGGGATGTAAAAGACCCATAGTATATAAAATGATGTCAAACTATTTATGATAAAGGATAGTTAAGGAAAATTCCAAGAGGCGCCAAGTCAGTGGAAGTGCACGCTGAAAAAGCACATAGCAACTTTATGAACTCAGGTTCTACCAGAGCTACGCAAAGTGGATCATGATGCAATATATTTCTACCACATATCACATCACTTGGGGAAGCGGAGATCAATCATTGAAGTATTTTCAGGAGCTCAAAAAGTGAACTATAAGAAAACCAAGGATTACTTAAAGTTTGATAAACTAAAAGAGGTGTCTTCAGGTCAATTCCATCTCTGTGTGCCACAGGGTTTTCAAGCCATTTGTCTAAGGCACTCTGGATGAATGAGCCTCAGTCTGACCTCTGGGATAGCACGTGAGCACGTTACCTGTTTGCACATTTGCCCCACCCGGGGACTCCTTTTAATTGCGTTGGACAGTAGACAACACTGCCTTCTGATTAAATATCATATATCGAGCTATGAAAAAGATTACATCGATGATGTGGGCTACTAAGCTGGGGGAAATAAAGTGATTCAGAAATCTAAACCAGATAAAATAAATCTATGCACATCCACTTAGCAAGGTGAAAATCAAGAAGAAAGGTCCTTTAGAAACAAGCAAGCAAAGAAAACAATGGGCACCAAGACTCAGGAGTAAATGGTGTTTTCTGGACTAGGAAACCTCCAGCTGCAAATTACGTTGGAATCTCTCTGTGAGCCTGCGACATTATTGACTGGCTGATGAGCTCCCAGAACCTGAGGGCAGGCTGAGGGGAGTATGGCCTTTTGCCTATGACAGCTGTCCGACAGTTTATCAACAAAAAATACGACCCCAAACCACTTTGGAAATCAGCATGATCTGACATAAAAGGAGAGGAGAAGAATCACCAGAGGTAAATAGATAAAGACAAATGGGGGCCCAAATTATTTCCACTGAAAACACTTCAGGAGCATGCAGTTTAAAAGTTTTACCAATTTAATTAATGCTCATAAATGAAATGATAAAGATACTTAGGTTGACTTATAGGGAGAATAATATGCATATGTAGTTTCTAGCACGGACTCAGAAGAGTGAATGATCAAGGGGATCGGATAATAATTTGGAAAGCTGTGTTTAGGGCCTAATTTGCTTGACTTCCACTGCAGTTCACATCCATCTGTGTGCAGTTAAGCTGCAACCGATAGGAGTGGGACCAGATGATCTGAAAGGCACTGAGAGTAAAATCTTTAGGCGAATGCATATACATTGATTGTGAGGCCACTGTTCAAAGAAAATACCAAAATGATTCTGAGGGTTGACTTACAAGGCCTTTGTGCAGCGATTAGGACCCTCTAGTCAGCGAAGCCGGCAGGCGGTGATTTGTGTTTGCACCAGTGTGTTCAGTCCTTCGGACCTGGCTGAGATAGGTGCTAAACGCCCAACGTGAGTCAATGGAGCACTTTGCAGCTGTTTAATGGCCCTAGTGGCCTGAGGATGAACCACTTTGGTCATTCATTTCTGATGTTGGCTTCGTGAATGTCTGTTATGTATGTTCTCTTGGCGGGAGCTCTTTAAAGGGGTGGAGGAGAGCAGATGAAGCTTACTGGACAGTAGCAATCATAAGAAGTATTTAACTACTTACACTAAACTTCTTTACCAATGAATACCTTGACCAACAAAGCCACTGTCCAAGAAGAGGTAAGTCCGTCGTAAAGGTCCATGCCACTCAAAGGTCAGCCAGGGCAGGTCTGGGAACACAGGCTAGCACTGTGTCACCTTCACTGGCTGACGCTCGGCATTCAGGTCACTGTATCTTTCAATTGGTAAACATGAGTTTTCCAGCTCGAGGTCTTAAAAGCTAGGTACTGAGGAAACGCTCCGCATAATGGAATTAATGATCCAGGACTGGGATAGCAGGGATCTGGAATGAGGTGTGTCAGGAGACCGATGCTATTTATAGATGGGCAAAGCTTACACAAGCACTTCTGCATTATCCTTGCTGCTATTAATAAACAGGCACTCTGTGAGTAGCTAATTTAAAATGAACCTTACATGATTAAAAGTACTCAAAATGGAAAGGAACCTTGAACCATCTCTGGCCTTGTAGTCCTGATAATTAATAGACTATGTGTTCAGGATATAATATGACTGCTTCGTGATAGGTATAATTTGTAACTGTTGTTCTCTAACTACAACCTTCAGTTGATTCAAGCGAAGCAGTTTTCTCTGTCCTCTGGGCATCAAATAACTCTGCCTCTTAATGGGGCTCAGGATGTTTTCCTTTCCAGATCTGGTAGTCCTTCCATTTTCCCTCCATCTTATCTAGCCATCAAGATTCACAAAAAGTCCCTTAAAATGCACCTCCAACTCTTCTGTCGAAGCTATGTTTCTGTTTCCCGAACTTATCTTCAGTTTTATGACTTAGCACCCACTATTCTCCATATGTGTCGATTTAACCACTCTCTCCTCTTGAATGACAACTACCTCATCTCCTCAGAACCTAGCAGAGCTAAGAACTAAATTGAGCTTTGGCTTCAAGATAAATATCCTCATAAAAACCAGTCACGTGGGTTCGCTGTTCAGACCTCCAGGACCAGAATTATCAGTTGCTGCTGATCTTGAGGGTGCTCCAAGCTTTGATGACATCAAAAGAAGAATTTTAGAAAAACCAAACCAAAAACGTACCTGAAATGCACAAGGTGTATTGTCCACGCAGTAAACTCTCAAATTGTAATCCAGGGAGTTACAGGACATGCAGCCAAAAACTGCCACCTTGAGCTGTTTTACGGCACAGTCTGTGATGGGTTCTCCAGTGAGGGCATATGTCCCAAAGCTGTCTAAGAGCACATGACACGCGAAGGGGTCCAAAAGGCAGTAACAAGATGTAGATTCATCCTCTACTGACATTACTTCCTGTTGAGAAAACATGGATTGAATTCTCTCAGTTTAAGATGTGATGCAATTATATATAATTTTAGACTCTTTGTATAATTCTCGTTATACTGATATTAAATCTGCTCTTCTGTTATCAATATAATTGTTCAATGTGGCAACTCAAGAATTTGTTATGTCTATATGTTATAATTCTAAGTATATTCCAAAATATTACTTTGAATTCCATCTTATTTACAATGTACAATGTCAGGAGTTTGGGTGGTATAGTGTGTTGCCAGGTGGGTTTCAAATGGCAAGGTCTGCTGTTTGGAACCACCAGCTATTCTGTGGGAGCGAGATGGGGCTTTCTGGTCCCCTCTACAGAGTGACAGTCTCAGAAACCCACAGGGGCAATTCTACCCTAAACTATAGGGCATGGCTAGGAGTTGGATTGACTCAATGGCAATGACTTTGCTTTGTACAATGTTAAGCTTAGAAGATGTCTCGAACATTAGCATCCATATTGCTGCTCTTTATTTGTTCACTTTATACTAAGGCCTACTTTCGGAACCCTCACTCAGTATTCTTAAGGTAATATGAATTTTTAGGCAAGCATTTTTATCCCCTTCATTCTACTATAATAATTCACAAGAGAACATTTAATCAATAGCTGTTTGGGACATGGACCGTACAGTCTCACGCAGTCTTAGGCATGGGTGAGTGATTTGATAGAACAGTGAGACACCGCCATCTGGATATCAATGATCAAGAGAAGGAAACTAAAGTGCCAAGAATCAAGACCTAAGGAAACATAATGGAAGAGAAGTCTAAAATTAAACCCATGAAACTTCAGACCCAGGAAATTTGCTCGTAGTTGTACTAGAACTGAAGAAACAGCAGACTGCATTTGGGAATAAAGAAAATAGGACATCCATGACCAGTGGAGAGGCAACCCATTTCCACAGCTGAAGATTTTCTGTTCCTAAAGAAACAGGAGTCTCTTTCTTTTCTTTTGCCTGAAGCACCTCCTGGGAGGCAAGATCCTAGGGCTATCTGCAACAGGTCATTGTGTTCCATCCAACAAGGTAATTCACCTGCTTTCATACAAACTGACTTCGATGGACATAAAAGGGATTCCTATCAGGCAGATAAATCAGAGCCTTCACTTAAAGTAGAAATTCGACTGCAATCTGTCTTTGCTGTGACTGGCTCCTGAGTTGTTTGCCACCTCTTCTGTGTCTTCGTTTTCTTCTCTCATCTCTCTCCCTTTTGTGGACTCCTGGTACTAGATCTTTCTTACATGTACTTAGATACATAAGGGAATGGCCACTCAGAATTCATTTCAATGCAATAATTAATCCACCCTGCATCTATTTAGCACCTACTGTGTTCCTGAATACTTAAATCAAGATGTGCTTTAATCTCCTTGTGGAAGGAAGGGAACATCCTTCATGATGCATTTCTAGTCTGCACAGAGACTGCCTGCCCTCTGCCACCTACTCAAACCACCATAGAGACCACAGAGTAAAGTCAATTCAGAGAGGCACCTGGCCTGGGAGGAAGGGAGGTGAGTTGGTGAGCAGGCACTTAAGAGTCCCTGTCTGTGTGGATGGAAACACCTGCAGCTGGAAAGGAGGTTTTCAAAGCTCTGGATCACCTCTCACCCCTCATCTCTATTATCATTGGAAATGAAGGAGCCATTCCCTTGAAGAGGCAGTGAGACCTACACTACCCACCCTCTGGAAAATAAGAACATGCTCACAAAATTCATAGCTGATTTATGTGTTAAGAGAGACTTAGTTTAAATCAATTTCATAGCTGGAACTCAAATCCGCCCCCCTTTTAAAAAGATGAAAAAGAACAAGTCTCACCTCCCACTTGCCCTGCTGGGTCCTCTTCTTTAAATGGATATTCCAGTGCTCAGAGCTGACATCCGCACAGTGTGGTATGGTCAATGCAAAAGGAGTGGTGACAATCATGTCTGGGGGACCACAGGTGACTTCAGGACTCAGGAGCACCTCAACTCCATCAGACTGGAGGCTTTACAGTCGAGAAAGAAGCAAAGGGAGAAGTGTGTAAAGGTGCTGTATTTGAATACAAGTTTTTGTTGTGGACTGGGGTTTGCCCAGGCTGCCCTGAAGATAACTCCACACCTGCACAGGGTGGGACAACCCACACTCCAGAACCCAAAGGGCAAATGTTTATTCTGACTGCTCCAGGCACACAGGCTGCTTTAACCCTGGACTTTAAATCTAGGTTTTATCAAACAAACAGAATGACAAACCACTTCCTAAGAAATGAAGGGCAGGACTAGAGAAATCAAACAGCTGACTGGTGTGTGTCACACCAGCTACCGAGACTATATCATTGTTGATACTTAAAGATGAAAATTTTACAGAAATGTCTGAACTGGTAATCTTACCATCAGCTTCTGTTCCCCTAACAACGCATACAACAATATTTTCAATCCCAGTCAGTGATGAAACAAATTATTATGGAACGAAACAGCATTTGAAACATACTCAGATTGTGTATGTCTATTCTGGTTTTGAAAACATTTGTTTCTGCCAATGCATAAATATATAGGTAATATAGTGACAGCATGGCAGATTTAGCTATTCATGTATATAATCAAGTACATAAATACATCTATCTTTCAACTCTTTCCTATTTTAGATGAAAATTTTAAATCATTCCACTTGTAACCTGCCGTCCAGATCTTTCTCGAGTTTGAATGATTTACCATGTGGGTGCAGATTCGTGAAAGAGTGAAACTTAACTCAAGGGGAATCATACTATCTCACTGGATAAATTTTCTTCTTGCTCGTTTGTTTGTATTTTATTATGGTGAGTAGATATATAAAAACCACTTGCCATTTTAACATTCTTCAGCATTCACAGGTGATCGATTGTTTTGAATCTTTGCCCCCACTTCATCATCAGAGGTGTATGATAGCGCAACAGTGAATGACAAGAGCCCAGAATTCTACTCCTTCCTCAACCTTGCATGTGATCTTGGACAACCTTGCATGTGATCTTGGACAAGGGATTTGTTTTTTCTTTTGCTGGGTTTTCTTTTTTAAAAGATAGAGTGACACAGGTGACCGTGTATAAAGCAATTGAGGGCTTTCAGATGAACAATGCTACATAAGAGCTAGGATTGGAATAATCACACATACACACAAATTACTTAGATATGCCAACCATGATCAATGAAAAGACCCTTTTGACTACATGCCACCCTTTTCTGTATAAACAAACAGCTGTTACACGAGCCCATTAAGTATGTTTTTAACCTCTGAACTCCTTTTGCTGATAACTCCCTCTTTTTCTCCAAGTTAGTAATGGTCACTCTTGCTCATAATTTGCTGCTGCAATAAAACCGAGGCATAGCACCGAGCATGGTTCTATTTGGATATATTTACTGCAACCAAGCCAGACCCTAATATTTTCACACCATCTTCTCCTCCTCCCCAAGAGGCACTGGAGATGCCTTTCAGAATATTCTGTCTTGCGCGAAGTTAGCCATGGTTCAAAGTTGGCAATTCTTCTCAGAAAGGCAACACAGATTTAGCTGGAAAGATGGCTGCTTTTACCTATAAGTAGGGCAGGCCAGAAGAGAAAGGAGTGGAAAGGAATGCATTAACAATACCGAATGCTCTCCACAAAGCCTACAACAACATACTTGAGGTTGAGGGGGCAGAGAGTGAACTGTAAATGTGAGCTACAAGCGGCGTGAAGTGGCAGCCTGCATGTGGATGCCTGCCAGCAGCCATCAAAGAGGGTTAAGCACATTCCGTGTAATTGCCGCCTGCATTCATCATGGACAGGAATAGCAGGGATGCTTATGAGTGACCGATGACAAGCTCTTCTAAAAGAACTATTTAATTGCTTTTAGAGAATCATCCCCCTAGTTGAACATATTGTTCAAACATATGGGAATTTGGGCAATTATTTAATGCCAAATGAACTGAAATCGGCTAATTAGATGAACTCTCACACTCATTGTGAATAGCAAGACTCCTTTCGGTAATAACTTAGACAGCATTAGGAGGCAGAGGCAGTGCATGTTCAGCATTACCCAGAGCACAGGGTGGGAGATCTGCATTAAGCAGGCATTGAGTATTTCCATAAGTGCAAAGTAAGTAAGAAAAGATTTACATCTAATCCCCCTAATGTGAAAACAGAGTGAGTGGGTGCAGGGTCTCCAGTGAAGAAACAAAACTTAATCTCTCTGATTTGTTTTTTTCCCCATGATTAATAACCATTTGCCCTTTTCTGCCATCTTCTATCTGTGGCAATCATGAGGGCTTACAAATATTAATTAAAGCTCTTCACATACCTGTGGAGACAGGTGTTAACAGCATAAGGTCACCCAGAAGTCAATCAAAGGGATGGGAGCAAAATCACCTACATTTCTCACTCACACATTCCTGCGAACCATGGATTGCACTTTCTTTCTGAGCTCCCACTAGGGAAGTTCTGAATACATTGCTGGCTCCTCTGGCAACTTCAAAAGAGGTGGGACTTTGGTGGGGATGGAGGCCGCTGGATGGGAGATGGATGTGGTTTAAGAGTAGCCTTGGATACAAAGGCAGGACATTTGAGGATGGAGGGCTAGGAGGACATGCATTTCATTTGGTACAGACAAACAAATGAAGATTTGTGAGAAAAATCGAGATGGCAATTGAGTGTTTCCACATTATATTATACATGACGTTTAAGTAGTCCTGTCCCCGCTAGAAAGAAAGGGGGGGGGAAAACATCAATTTCCCCCCCTAAATTTTTGTGAGTTAATAACAACTGTGACCTGATAACAGCAGCAATTTCAGGACTATATTATGAGTCGCCTCACTGCATCATGCACACTACGTAGACTGTAGATTGAAATGTTTGGATTCATAGAATTTTTGTGACTTTTGGTTTTCATCGAATGCCTTTTCCTTCTCCCTCTCCCTCTTTCTTTTTCTCTCTCCATATATAGCACCTGGGTGGCACAAGTAGCTTTTTATTGGCTGGTAACCTCAAAGTTGGCAATTTGAAGCCAACTAGAGGCATTGCAGAAGAAAGGCGTGTGATCTATTTCCACAAACATTGTCATTTGCAAATTGGATGGCACAGTTCTACTCTGCGTTACAAGAGATTGCCTTAAATCAGCTACTGATTCAAAGGTACCTAAATGCCTGCCCCCGCAATGTGTGTGTGTGTGTGTGTGTGTGTGTGTGTGTGTGTGTGTGTGTGTGTTTGAACATAGATACTGTAAATGTTATACATTTCTAGGGATATAACAAGATTAATAACTTAAGTGCCTGATTCGTGTGACTGGACAACTTGTTGAACAAGGCACACTATGTGGAAACGTGGCTGTGAATCCACATTTCTGCTCACCCAGTATGGGAGAATATTCTGAGGAAGACTCTGACAGCTTTGCAGTCCTAACCTCTGAAACAGCAGAGTGCATTGATAGGCAAGAGCAATGTAAAGCCATAGGAGCACTGTAGGGCAGGAACACCCAAATACCAGAAGTAGGAACCAAAGATGCCTTCAGAGAATGTGGGGAGCAAGACAAAGAGCAAGTCTATATTCTCACTCTGCTTTCACTGCGCTCTTCATAGCATCACCCCAGCACCACGACCCTTCTCAGGCTTTTTCTCTGTCATGAAAACCAGAAAACCGGTCAGTGGGACAGAGTGCCAGATTCAAGGCTTTGGGGCCATATAATGTTGGGTGCCAACCAGGACCAGCTATGCTTCAAATAGCACAGCAAAGGGACTTTGAAAAGCTGAGTTACCATTTTAAGTCACACTTTCCTCATTGGTTCAATGATGTCCATCCCCCGGGGTTCATCCTGTGAATTAAAAGGAGTAAAACTTGAAAGTAAACAAGCGGCCATCTAGCCCAGAAGCAACAAAGCCCACATGGAAGCAGCACACCAACATGTGTGATCATGAAGGGCCAAAGGGACCAGGCTTTAAACACCAAAGGTGGGGAGGGGGAATCCTATCCTCGTCAATGAGGGTGGCGCGTGATGGAGACCCAATGCCCATCTCTAGACAACTGGACATACCTTGCAGAGGGGTAGGGGGGATATGAGTCACTTAGGGTACAGTATAGCAGTAATGAAACCCACAACCTCCCTCTAGTTCTTCAACGCTTCCTCCCCCCAACTACCAGGACCCCAATTTTGCCTTGCAGACCTGGTTAGACCAGATGATGCACAGCGGTACAGATGGGAATTGGAAACGCAGGGAATCTAGGACAGATGAACCTCTCAGTGGTGATACCAGGAGGGAAAGGGAATGTAGTAAGGGGGAATGGATCACAGGAAACTACATATAACCTCCTCTCTGAGGGACGGGCAGCAGAAGGGTGGGTGAAGGGAGACGCCGGACAGTGTAATATAAGATACAATAATAATTTATAAATTATTAAGGGTGCATGGGGGAGAGGGGAGGAGGAAGGGAAGGGGAGGGGGGAAAAAAAGGAAAATGAGCAGATTCCGGGAACCCAAGAGGCAAGCGAATTTTGGGAATAATGAGGGCAACAAATGTATAGATGTGCTTTACACAATTGATCTATGTATTGTGATGAATTGTATGAGCCCCACTAAATTGATTTAAAAAAAAAAAAGGAGTAAAACATAAAAAAACCCACTAATCTTTGCCCAACTCTGAACATCTACCTTCCCTGCTTTTCATGAATCTCATTTCTCTAGAAATTTTGCTTTGTGAGGTGCCAGGTTTATTTAATAAATTGTCACTGCATCAATATATCCTTTAAGGGAATTTTGTGCATTACATGAATTTACAAAGCACTGGCAATGCAACTTGTCTCCTTGCTCTCATCTTGGTCTCTGATAATTACTCTTCAACCCAGCAGAGGAACATCGCACACAAAATAAGCACTGCTCTTGCTGCTCTGGGGTGCTCCATGTTGCCTGGAAGGGTTGCTCCAGACATGCATATAATTGGCTCCCTCCGGCCCTCATGTCTTTGCTCATAGGATACCTGCTAATGAGGCTTTCGAAAGAGCTCTGGTGG